TACTTTAAATTTGCTAAATTTTTTCTTTTGACAAAGTTACATTTTTAAATTGTATCAAAATTGCAACATTTTTATTTGGTCCAAAATATGTTTTTTTTTACTTTTTCTTGATATATTTATTCGTAATATTACAAAGTAGATTTTTATAGCATTTAACATAAAAATTTTAGTTTTTATTTACTTAGTATATTTATTATAAATATATTATTAATTAGTTTATTATTAGTTATATTTAGTATATTATTAGCATATTATATTATTATATATATTAGATAGTAATTTTATAGTCATTGTATAGAAATAATTTGATTGGCTAAAAAGATGTGTGGTACAGTCATATGACCCACGTGACCTGAGGTATACAAAGAAGTGCTTTAGGTTATACAAAAAGATAATACAAAAAAATAATATAATGTCCTTAAGTACCTTTACACAAAATCTACCAGATTCTTCTATACGAACTTAAGTGTTTTGAACACAAGTTATCGCATTGCAAGCCTAATACTGTGTTGCAGAATTCCCCAGATTCTCTTTCCCCAAGCTCTTCTTTACAAACAATAAATAAAATATAAACAAAATGAGTAATGTTTATACTCACCAACTTTCCCCAACACAATCCCCAACTCCTTTAGTACGATCTTCTAACTTTCTCTGCCAAGTGTTACGTTTTTACTGTGTGTCGTGTACCTTTGTCTTGGATAGAAAAGATATATAAAGGGTGTCTTTTCCCTCTTCCTGCCAGATCTTAAGTTCCTACACTTCAATTAGACTCTGATAACCTTTAACTATTCTTATCTTGTAAAGCATAATATTCCCCCTCTAGGATAATTTCTACAGGCAAGGCTTATCACTATTCTTGTATTAAATAAAATTATTCTATATACTGTTACTATCTCGAACCATTTGCCTGCTGCTGTGTAGTTAAGTGAACAACTACACCTCCACCCTGTATATATTTGCAATAGTCAATTACTATACTGGGTAACCTTGTTACTTGGTTATATTTTACTAAAGAAGGCTACAGCCTTGTAACATTTTGATGGCTCCTGGTGGAAATTATAAAATTTTGTGAGAAACAAAATTTACTCTTCCTTGGAAGCAAACCTCTCTTTCTCTCTCTTTTTGAAAGGAAACTTTCTTGCAAAAACTATTTCAACTCTCTTGAAGCAGCAGAAGCTATTGAAAAAGCATTCTAAGAATTATTATTATTTTTTTAATATACTCTCTACTAACTTAACTAGTATTGTATTTTATTAAATTGTATTTTGAAATTGTATTGTCGTGGAGTTTATACTTTTACCTCTCACCGCTACTAACTTTCTTGCCAGCCACATATAGATTTTGTTTAAAATCTTTGGAATTTTGTTATTTTACTCAAGTTATTTTATTTTGTTTTATTCGTGAATTTTCTTTCTTTACTTCGTTTGCTAGCATTCTTCGATTTATTTTATTTTTTTTATTTATTTTCTTTAACTTTCTTATTGTTTTATCGTTTTGTTACTACTAATTTTCTCTAAAGATATTTTAATTTTTATGGGAGATTTGTTAACTCATTACCATTCAGATAATATTCAAAAGCATAGACAAGCCCATATCAATAACTTCTCTCTTGCTATTACAGTTATTCAATCTATTACACCTGATCTAACTTGTACCCAGTGCTATCCTACAAAGCTTGCCCCTCGTAAATATTTTGGTGAATTTTGGAATTGGTATTCTCAAGCCTATAACGCTACAACATATAGCCTAGCTACTTATTCTAACTTCCAAAAGCTAGCTACTGCAGACCAAACAACAGCTCATATACTTGTTCGAAATATTATTTTTAATTGCCAATATCAGAGAGCAGTACCTGCACTTTGACAAACTGCTCAACTTCTTTTTCAAAAATATACTTCTTATTATAACCTTTGCAAGACTTTCAGTACTTATATTAACCACTATGATATTTTCATTGATAATCCTACTACTGCTCAATCTTATATTCAAATATTATATCAGGACGAAGAACAACAAACTTTAGGAGAAATTGCTACTCCTGTTTTATTTCCATCTTCTCCTAATACTGTTATTAATATAGAAGAGCCTGTTGTTGCCTCTACTTCAACTTTTATTCCTATTACCTAACTAAAAAGATGAGAAGAATCTTTAACTTCATCCGATAATTCAGAAAGCAATTTAGAAAGAGCAACTTCCTCGTCTACTCCACAATCTCGACTTATTCAGAAATTTTTCAGAACTATAATCTCTCTTAGTCCTCATCGAACCGGATCTTCTTCTACTTCTGAAACCCAACAAGAAGATACTCAATCTATTAATGCTAAAGTTTCATATATAGAGGGAACTGCTGTATCATCAGTACATACTGTAAACAAAAAAATTACTACAACTATCTATTCATTTGAGCAGAACTATCAATCTCTTTATCCACTAATTAAACCCCCTAGTCCACCACCAGAACGCCTTTATCCAGACCTCCCAGATATTTCTAGTTCAACTTCTACTTATTCTTCACTTTATCCTCAATTCCCTAAAACAACTACTACATATAATTATCTTTCTCGAGAGGATTTAGACTATTTCGAACAGCCAAAAACAGAAAATTTATTTGAACAAAGTCCTTTATCCTTACCTGAACAAACAAACCCCAAGCAAATAATAAATTCAGATAGTTCAGATAAAGAAGAAAATATGGGTGACTTAGAACAAGCTGCTCAAGCAATGACCCAATTAGCTAAAGCTATTGGAAGAGAAGGAGGAGCAGAAAAATCTCTCATCAAGATTAAACTATTTAGAGGAGATGGTACTGAGGATCCTATTGATTGGATTAATGAATTTGAATAAGCTGCTACTGCTAATAACTAGAATGAAGGCAGAAAACTTGCAATTGCCGAAACTTATATACATGACAATGCAGAAGATTGGTTAAAAGAAATGGGAGAAAAAATCCAACAATATGCTATCAGTGATAATGATAATTGATTCAAAGTAAAATTCTTAGAACAATTCATGACTACAAAGAAGCAAGCTATGTGGCAACAGGAATTTTCAATCTAAAACAAGGAGCAAATACTGTAGATACCTATGCTGCCCAGTTTAAGAAACTACAAAAGAAAGTGAACCCAGATCCAGCACATCAATTTCTTGATCCTTTTGTTGTTTAATTTTTTATTAAAGAATTACAATCTGAATATGCAATTCCTGTACAAGCATCAACTTCAGAAAACTTAAATGAAGCTATTGCTATTGCTAAATAATAGAAACTAAAAGATTAATAGCCTCAGCAGAAGACTTAGTAATAAATGCTATTAGTAACCTTACTAGCTGCTTTGACAAATTGGCTATTAATATGGTTCAACAACAACCAGAACTCCAACTGAAACCTGCTTATATAGCTAAAAGAAAATCTGGTTTCTCTCATCCAAACAACTTTAACTAGGATAGAGCTCTTTGCTATTATTGTGAAAACCCAGAACATTTTATTGCTGACTATAGAAAAAGACGTAATGGTAATCAAAGAAATAGAAACAACGGAAGAAGAACTAACAATAATAATAATAGAAGAAGTAATAATAATCATTACAATAACAACAACAATAGACAAAACAGAGATAAAAGTCAATCTCATGATAGAAATTATAGGGATAGAAGTCAATCCAGAGACAGAAATTATAGAAGCAGATCTAGAGACCAAAGTCAAGATAGATGGGGACCTAGGTCTAACCGCTCACCCTCACCCTACTACCAAAATATTAATATGGCTAAAAAGCAACCTGCCTCTAATTCTAATAATTGGAAAAAATTATTAGACAACTACTCTATCAGAACTGCTCTAACTACCTATATTACTGAAGCCAATAGAGAAAATACTAAACCTCAACCCATTAGCACTATTACTTCTGTTAAATACTATATTGATATTCAAGACTGTACTTACCCTGCTATTATTAATAGTGGTGCCTCTATCAGTATGATCTTACACCAAACTGTGAAAAAATTAGGTCTTAAAATTGAAGAACTATCCAAAAGCCTTATTGTTGCTGCTACTGGCACTACTTCTAAGCCTCTTGGAATTACAGATTACTCCCGTTAATATCAATCTCGTTGATATCAACCTAAGCCACAAAACAACTTTTTATAAATTTTTATATATCAAAATTCTCTCATATATATCAACTTTAATATGATTTCTCGTTAATATCACTATCAACATGATTTAAAACCAATTCAAATAGATTGATATTAACGAAGGTAACCTGTATTAGAAATTTGTCTATTAGGATCCAAGGTCGACTTATCCCCTTAAATATAGAAGTTGTACTTGCTACCTTTTATTCTATTCTACTTGGTAATGACTGGTCAAAGAAAGTAGAAGCAAATTATAATTGAAAAACATGCCAATATACTCTCTATTAGAAAGAAAAGAAGATTGTTCTTGATACTTCTTATAAGCAAAAAAAGCCTAAAGAAAAGAAACCAATCTGTACTACTACTGAAGACTTTGAATTATATGAGCAGGAATATCTAACACCCTATGAAGCTTATACATTTTCTGCATCTTCAGAAGATAAAGACCAAGGATGGACTTCCTACCAATTTTGACAAAGAAAACCACCTTGCAAAACCTGTGATCAAGCTAACTACCAGTACAAAGATTGCCCCCGAAATCAATGTTATTATTGCAACAAATTTGGACATGTACTTATCAACTGTCTCAACAAACGTGAAAGGTCAAATGGCTGTAGAACTTGTGGACAAACTGCTCACTTGTTCAAGGATTGTCCTGATAATCAATGTTATAGCTGTAATGAATTTGGTTATATTGAAATTAATTGCCCTCTTGCCCAACTCAAACTTGACAATTTAACTTATAAATGTAGTTGTGACAAAGACCAAATAAAAAAAAGAAGAATAACCTACCATAGTAGAAGGAGAACTCATCATTGTTGCCATTGCTATATCTCTCAACAACCTGACAAATTATACAAATTAGAAAAAAAACTTGCTTGTACTGCTTGTTACAAAACATATTATGAAGCTCTTGACCCAGAAGACCCCAGAAGCCAAGAATATTACAATACAAGACTTGGTAGAGAAACCCTTGTCCGATGCAAACTTTGTAATATTCAGAAACCTAGATCAAGAATGCATAATATAAAAAGCATACAAGAAGAATTGTAGTTCTGTGAATTAGAATACATATATATTTACAAAATCTTTACAGACCTTCAATATAATCCAAACTATGAGATTTAGAACAGAATTAAACATTATACTGAGTCTACCAGAAATACTGGATATCAGTATAACTTGAACCAAGACCGAATCTATCATCTAGTTAAAGTTTTACTTGACGAAGAATACAGAAGCATAGAAGAAGCTATAGAAGAGCAAGAAGATGATAGATATAATCGAGAATAGACCCCTAAAGAGATTACTATTCTATTTCGAGCAGAGCAAGTATTGCTTACAGAAGATGAAGAGGCTACCTTACAATAGGTCTTAAATGAATCATTTAATACTTCTCAACCTGACTTTGATACCTGCAAAGCTATTGAGAATTTAAGGAAGAATTTTGAAGGAAAAGTAGCTCTTTGCCAAGAGTACCTCTTTGCTAAACAAAATACTGAATTAGAAGCTAACCAAAGTCTTTGTGATGAATGCTATCAAGAGAAAAACAAACTCTCTCCTGTTGAAGAAACAATTACAGAAGAAATGTACCAAGATGACATTATTACTACAGAACAGCCTATAGAAAAAATATACCATGATACTACTGTTATGGTAGAAAAATTTGAAATAAGTGAGAACACTATTTTTAAGGAGAAGAAGAATGAAGAAAAAGATCAAGTTATTGCTCGATTAGAAGCCAGAGTCCAATACTTGGAAGAAAATTTTGAAAAGATGATAGAATTTTTCCAACAACAAATTCAACATCACTAGGAACAAGCTAATTACTATACCTATATGGCTTTCATACAGCAAAATTTTTGAGCTATCTTAGGCAAGATGAAAAACTACCTGAAGATCTAGAAGAATTACCAATAGAAACAGAAGCTTTGCAACAGGCTTTGCAAGCTAATACTCTTAAATACAATTTTGTATATACCATAGATACTTTAATTCCTTATGAGGAATATATATTAGAAAAGACAGATACTGTAAATGTAGGACTACTTACAAAAGAACAAGAACAAGCATTCAAAATCTTGTTAGAAGAATTTGCTGATCTGTTTGCTAAGGATATTACAGAACTTGACAGAACAGATAAAGTTAAACATAAAATCTATACAAAAGATATATTACCTATAGGGTTTGGACCCTGTAGCTTATTGGTTAAGCTCCCAAACCCTCTACAGACAAGGTCAATGGTTCGAGTCAGGCTGGTGGCAAATTTTGAATTTGTTACTGTAACCTTATGAAGCCATAATCAGATACAAAGCCCTGTGAAAAATCTAAGTGCAAATACGGTTCTGGAATAGAAATTCCTAGAAAGAGCTCCGATTATGGAGTGCAGACACTATGTATAATAGCGGAGTCATAGAAGGTCTAGATTGTAGAAGATTGCACGAGTAAGTCCTCTGGTTGGGGTGCTAAAGAGACAATACTAATATCTCATCACCTCTGTATTTGGTAATACCAACATTCCTGCAACCAACTTGTGGGGTACTTGCTTGGAAGGATGATCAACAGATTGTACGTATAAGTCCCAATATGGAATGGTGTTGGGTACTTGCTTGGAAGTGTAATACAATACTACCAAAACTAGAATAGTGAGAGAAGCAATGAACATGTGAAAGGGCTGTGATAAAGGATTGGCCTTACTTGAATTAGAAGCACCTCTGGCACTATAGAACAACTAACTAAAGAAGATAATTTCATAGAGGCAGGCTAGCTAATCTAATATGTCTAAAGGCACCAAGTCGGAGCTCTGGTCATACCTATATGGAAGTTAATAACAAAAGAAGCCAGAATACACCAACAATAATGCAACACCAACCAATGAGAAGATCAAGTTGAAAGTCAAGGTGAATTGGGCATTGTCTCCTAGTAACATGACATAAGGCCTACAGTTGAAAATATGTATACACGAAATAAGGTTCTGGTAATACACCATATGAGGAAGTACAAATAGGTTATACTAGTACTACTATACCAGAAAAAGAACATTAAATCCTGGGATTGGCAAACCAGCGGCAGCAGCAGAAACTTGGCTTGAGATACGGGTTAGTAGTACCTGGGCTGATAAGTGGGAGAGTTTATTTGTAAATAAATATAGAATAACTTGACAATGTAATACCAACTCAGTCATGTGGTAAACCTAACTAGACAGCAAGATTCTGGCTTGAGATATGGGCTGTAGAAAGGCTAATCTGCACCAATTACAGTTGCACTAATAGAATCTGAAAGAAGACTTGTAGTGGATCATATTTGCAGGTACACCAACTTGGGAGCTCATAAGGAGCGAGTACCCAACATACCAATTTGGAAGTTATGACTGGTCATATGAGACGTGAGGGGAATATAGTGGTTACTAGATATAGTTAGTTGGAAAGCGTAAAGCTAGATGAGATATGTGTAGGGCATAGAATATTTTAGTAGGTTTAGGTCGTAGATAAATTAGTCTAAGTTTCTGTAGTTGTAAATTAATGTATATGAAATTGTAAGTGAAAGTAGTATATGTTAATAAAAACCAAAGGTGTGACCTCACCTTAATATTAAAAAAAAAAAAAAAGATATACCACCTATCAAACTATGACCTTACAATGTCCCTCCAGATAAACAAGAGTTTATTAAACAAGAAATTGAACGAATGTTAGACAGCAATATTATCTGACCCTTAGAAAGCCCTTGGGCATCACCTGTTGTTCTTGTACGGAAAAAAAATGGAAAGTTAAGATTCTGTGTTGACTACAGAAAACTTAACAGTATCACTAAGAAAAACACCTACCCACTACCTCGAATCCAAAAGATATTAAATGCCCTCTTAGGATCACAATAGTTTTCAACTGTAAACTTAGCTAGTAGATATTGGCAAGTCATAATGGACTCTAAAGATAAAGAGAAGACTGTTTTATCACAAAGTATAGCACTTATGAGTTTAATGTAATGCTATTTGGATTGTGCAATGCCCCTGCTACTTTTTAACGACTTATGGATTAAGTTTACAAAAGAATTGCTTGAAAGTTTGTAGTTGTGTATTTTGATGATACCAATGTATATTTTCGAACATTTGAGAACTATTTGAAACATCTAAAGATTGTGTTTCAATGAATAAGAGATACAGGATTAAAACTTAATCTTGAAAAATACAACTTTTGGATGAAATCTTGGAGGTTCTACACTAGCTGCTATACCTACAACCCAACTACGGATATTCTATAGAATAGGTAGGCAAACTTCGCAAACTCTGCAACTCCGCTATTAAAAAATTAATGATTACTAATTATTAGCGAAGCTTATTTCTTATATTGCCCACCTATTCTATAGAATATCCGAAATCCTTACCCTTCTTTGGCCATATTATTAGCTCTAAAGGAATAGCTCCTGACCCCTCAAAAATTGAATCTGTTCAGAAAATCTAATCTCCAAAGAACACCACCAAGTTACAATCTTTTCTTGGTCTAGTTGGATATTATCAACAATTTATTCGAAACTTCTCTACTATAGCCTGACCCTTGAACCAACTTCTTCATAAAGATGAACCCTATTATTGGAGAAACAAACAGCAAGAAGCATTTGATATTCTTAAAGAAAAATTAACTACTGCATCTATTCTAGTCTACCCTGATTTTAAAAAAAGATTTATTCTTGCTACTGATGCTTCTTATCATAGTTTTGGAGCCACTCTAAGCCAAAAAGATAGAGATGAAAAGAAACATCCT